AGGTGTTATACAGAAATGATCTCCAAAGAGGGCATGAACTAACATGCTGAAGTCTACAACCTCAAGGCACAATGACAGAAAAGAGCCATTTTAGCTGTGTTGGAAGGCACTTAATATTGGAGGCTGAACTGAGCTGATGTCCAGAAGTGGCTCTGAAGTTGAGGGTAGACCTACTGAAAGGCACTTGGAGCTTAATAATAATATTGTAGGTCTCCCCATGCCTGGAATGATTGTCTCTTTGTTTGCATCTCTTCCAAGTTATTACTAATCAAATCCCTAACTTTGTCACCACACATGCCTCTTGAAGCCCCATCTCATAGACTGAATATAATAGGTTAAATATAATAACGGGCATGTCAAAGCAGCCAAGCCACCCTGACATCTAAGACTGTGCTTGGCCAGCTAGATGCTCATTAAACTTAAACAAGCCAATGGGGAAAGAGATTTAAAACACAGATGGACAATTTTTAGAACAGGGGTGGAATTTTAGCTGCATACCCACTCAGTCGGTAAGGTGCAGCTAAATTTCAGGCATTGCTCTGGAAATGTTCCTTTGCAGGTCATGATTTCCAGTAACATAGTTCAGAAAAATCTGACTTTCTATAAATACTTTGGCTTTACATGGCACCTTCCATTTGAGGAGCTTCAAGCACTTTATAGCTAGAGTAATAAAGTCTCACAACCTTGGTGTGAGACAGGTATGTATGTGATATTCCCGTCATTTGAAAGATGAATGTTTTGAGCTATAATCAAATCCAGGGCCAGATCCTGTGAAGAGCTCAGCACCTCTCTGCAGAGAATCCTGCAAAACTGGCAAGTACTTTGACATTTTTCGAGACGTCTTTCCTCTTTTTCCAACTGGTTGCAGCAGAAATGTTTATTCCCCGGCGGTCTTCAGTTGCCACCAAAAGACCTTGGGGAGAAGTCACGTGGCCTTTTTAGATACGCTGTCACTGAGCAAGTATCAGGACTGACTCCAAGACGCCAAGTAACGCTGAAATGCCACTCGAGCAGTCTTTAATATTCTCTGCAGGAAACATGATGACAATCTTAAGAACATCCTAGATAAGGATTTTGTAGAAATCTTTGCCTGTTCCTACAACGTGTTGATATGAGAGATGCTGCTTTTGGAGATTCCCTGCAGGTACTAATCTTCTTATTTTTGTTATTTAGATCACATTCATGTGCCTTGTTTTTAAGGGGTTTTATTTTTTTTTGCCCTGTTATTTTTGTGCAGATTTTGGCAGTATTTCAGTACAAATACACTTAAAGAAAAAAAAAAGCGCTGAATGCTCAGCAGCTGTTCAGAACAAATACCTACTCCTGCTCATTATATCACACAATAGTGGGGCTATAGAAAGAAACCCTATGAGGTGATTTTCTAAGTGCTTAGGAATATAGGACCACAAACAGACCGTGGTCCCTTTTTATGTCTGCAATGATGTTTGTGCAGGAGCAGGGCAAAATAGACCCTTATCCAAATATAGGCTATTCAGGCCACAGCACTTGGATCTGAGCAAGAGCACTCTAATGGACTGGGCCTGAGAAGCACGAGCAAGAAAAGGTTCCTTGTTGATAACAAGGATAATCTGGTTTTCTTACAGTTACCCGGCTCATGCTTAAATATATTGACTTGACATTTAACCCCTCTGTTCTAAGTAAAACAGTGGCCCTTTTAGTTCTCATTACAGATAGTTGAAAAAACAGCTTTTGAATTAATCTTGAGCATTTCAATTCATCCCTTCACTTGCATCTTTTCCCAGTTCCTGTTGTATGAACCGCCTTATGAATTTTACATAGTGCCGAGACTTGCATGCATTAATTTTCTTGTAATACCTGGTTTTCCCCATAAACAATTAGGCATGTTTATAGCTATACTTCTGTCATGTTTTTTAACAAACATGGCAGTTATCTTATTAAATATAAATTGCTGCTAAGCAGCTTTTGGGACTGGTTTGAATCATGCTAGGTCTAGAGTTTATTTGAATACATGGCCATAGTGATATCATACTCCTGTGCCTTTTTCTTCATGGCTCATGTTTCCTGATTTGCGCGTATTAGTGTAACCTCTGGCTATTTAGGATGAATTGAAAATTAGGGTAGAAATGTGTATCTGACTTCATAAAAGACCAATTCATGCTACATTACTAGTGCAGGTTCTTTAAAAGATGGTTACAGACGGTCATTTGGCATTCAGTTTTTGGTACCGATGCGGTTGTTCTGAAGCCGGATGGCTATCAGAAATCCCAGCAAACCGTAGTCTTGAAGATTTATTTTCTAAAAAATGAGCATGGTGCATATTTAACAGCCGGAAAAGAGTTGTGGAAAATATTGTTTATTTAGTTTGACACCTTATATGTTAGTATATGGAGTTTTTGGTTTGTTTCTAGCGTACTGGACAGAGGTGCATCACCTTCCACTCACCTTAGTAACTTAATTAATTCTGACTATTCTTTTGTACAACTCAAATATTATCACAGTCTTGTAATAGTAGTCTATTGTTAGACTCTGATTCTGTAGTTGAGACTCTGATGTTAATTACAATCAAATGCATATAAATCGGTGTACAGTGATATTAAAAGTTGATTCACACACTTCTTCTTTATTACATCTGAGTTCTGCCAAATCTCTGACCAGTATTTTCAAAGTTGTGATTGCATTGCACCAAGCTAGAGAGAATTTGGCGTAGCCAACGGGTATCGTCACCATTCAAGGTTTTTTGATTAGTTGATGCGATGTGTCGATATATTCGTTCTCCGAATACCAAAGGCAACATTAAAGTCTTCTGTGAACGAATGCACGTAACGATTCCACAAAGGTGTTGAGGCTGGATGTTTGTAAGTGTTTGAGAGCCTTGTGTGAAAATGCTGTGATTGGGAGCCAAAACTGGGGTGGGAGAAAAGTGAAATTCGTACATGTTTTTGAATATGCCAGTTTGGTGCAAGGCAGTGGGGGCCAACCTTTTTGTCAGGGGAAGGGGTAAAGTTAGCCATTCTCCGTCAGGTCAGTGGTCAGTTTGGTCACTTCGTGTACAACACAAAAGAGCACCTGCCCCTCTACAGGCAAATGCTCCATCAAATAGATGCTTCCAGCTCTGAATGACGTTTTATTCACTTTGATGCGGTGCGGTATGTTGACGGATGTCAACTATATAATACCCCAAACCAGGTGTTGGTCAGCTGGTACTGTGACTGGATTTTTCTTTAGTGCCCATCACTGTGGGGTCTTTTGCAGCAGTTATATTCATGCCCACGCCAAGTCATGTTTAGTGGTTCCTTGATGAAACCTCCAGAGCTGCGTGTTTTGCTCTGGCTTTGTTTCTGTGCGGTCATGTCTTTCTCTAGTCACTGGCCCCAAGAATGGTCACAGCCTCCTCCTTGCACAGTCAGTAGAATAACTCTTCAAGCTCAAGTGAATAGAGGCTTGCAATCTCAGTATAAAACGCTACCTTGGGTATGATCTCACAGACAACTGTAACACCTTGCACATGTATGTTGTCAGGGTTGGTTATGGAAGCACGTCCTAGATGAGGTCTAATTTCCCGTGGTTCTTTTCTAGGCAGACCTTCCTCTGGTTCTTTTCTGTGAAATTAAACATACCTGTAGTAATTTGCATATAGTACCCATAGACTTCATTCATTCAGATGCTCCATGACTCCCTTGATCTTAGCCAAGGCGTCAGGGCATGTGTGCGTGCTTTATCTTCATGGTGGCTGACCCTATCAAGCATAACAACCTTCTGTGTTGAGTGGTTGCCGTGTCCTGTTACGGTGGTGGGTGGTGTATTCTTTTTTTGGGAAAAGCAAAACAGAATAAAACAACTGTGGTATGATAACGAGGATCATCCAGGTATTTCTTGTTCTCTGATTCCCATAACCTTGTATTTTGTGTTCCTGGGTTTTCTTTCCCCTTTCAGTGTTTCAAGGACTTAAGCACACACATGCTCCTCCTTCTTAATACTTGACTGTAACATCGTGCAGCATCAAGGCAACAGTGTTAACTGAAAGTACTGACTGGCGTATTAGGGGCATGTTAACACTGCATCGTGATCTTCCTTTATGAAATTGCTGGGTTTTTTTCATGCGCTTGTTAGAACATGACTATCTACAGGCACCTTTCAGACTCAAAATACTGTTACCTTCTGACTGAATAGATGCCACCTAGTTTCAGCAGCAGCAGGAGAAGTGGTTTCCCTTTTTATTTGCACTTACTCCATCGGGGCAGGGGGAGCGAAAACCTACACTGTGCCCCAGATTGCTATCCATCTAAGCACTTTGTGAGTGCACTGTTTAGAGGGAGCTTTAAGTGTACAGAAGAACTGTTGCGTTTCCCTCCTCCCTTTCCCCAGACCCCTTAAGTGACTGATAAATATTTACAGTCTTTATTCCAAAGAGTTCAATCTTGACCAAAATCTGGGAGAATGCGAGTTCTTTTTATGTGCTGTACAGGCAATGGAGACAGAGAGGACTTCACATCTCACAGGGTGCAAACCTTTTAACAAAGGGGGCTTCTCTGCCCCTTGTAGTCAAGCTTCAGTTTTGTGTTCAGGGCAAGGATGGGCCAGGCTGGAGCAGCAAGAGAAAAACAGCACTCGGGCTGTGAGGGTTTTGGGGAGACCTGGGCTAGCGTTGGGCCACTCGGGGCTCTGATGCCATTCCAGGTGTGCATTTCTGTGTGTGAGAATGAGCGTGCAACGGCTGCTGGGGATGCTGGCTGATTGTGGGTTTCCCTTCCTAATGTAAATGAAGCAATACATCACATTGATCAGGTGGATGTGTCCAGCAAGGTGATTACAGCTGGCACTTGAGGGAATCTGGCAATATGAGAACAAATACGTCATAAATATAATGAAATGTTTTGTGCAAATTACAAAAGCCGCCAGCATCCCATTACTGCAGGAAGCAAACGAGGAACGAGGCTGCATTTGGGAATTCCCCAGCTCGACTTCTGTCTCACAAGCTCACTGCTTGAGTTGAGGTTTTTTTTTTTTTTAATAAATGAAACGAGAATGAGAAGAGATTTTCTGCCCTGAATGCAAAACAGAGGAATTCAAACTGAGGTGCTTTCATAACACGGTGAAAAACATCAAGCTGTCAGCTACAAAAAAGACATAATTGAGTAGCCTGCTATTTGCACTGGGATTATCTGAGACATCTTTAGCCTAAGCGGTGAGCTTGGTACTGATTTATCTCCTCAGCATCTCCATCTAAACATAAAGCTCTCCCCACTGCAGCCACATAGCAGCTGGGGTTATAGTGCTCTTTTGAGCACTGGCACAAATGGCAGGTTCTGAGACTACAGGATGAAGAAGGACTAAGGCCCCAGACAGATACAACTCTTACCTGGGGTGTCCTTGAACAGTCCCACCGAGTTCAACAGGGCTACCTGGGTGAATAGGGATTTTAGGGTAGGCCCACACGTGACTCGTATCAAGCAAGAGCAGCTCTACATAATGCCAATGACCTTGGGGAAGCAGAAGTTTAGTACCTTTTCCTCCACCTCTCTCCAAAACATTCATCACAGCCTTGTCAAAACTCAGTTCTGTGAAGCTTACCCATCGGAAGCATGTAGCTATTATGGATCCATACATTAAGTTTCCAGATGTGCTCCAAGGTAAGAGCTAAGCCCAAAGCCATGCCATACATGTGGTTTTGATCCAGATCCAGTCTTTATGCTATGGAACCAATGTAACACAGAGTACTCTGCATCTGCAAGACATAGGGACATCTTTTGGAGCAGGGATATATAAACACTAACTCTGGTGTTTGGGGGAATCAGCCTATTGATATGTGATTAGAGGAATCCAAGTATAACTTTAGAGGTGCCGACGCTTCGTGGCAACCTTCTTGACTATTTGATTGTCTTCAACCAAGGCTTCCCTTTTGTCACCAGCAATAACAGTGTAGACTTACAAAGGGTAAGTACATATAATCACAATATATATTCATGAACACGTTTCCCATTTTATTTGTATGGGGTGCCAATGGCTGGCAGCTGCTGTGATCTCTCAGCCATGGGGGCACCTCATGCACTGCCACAGCTGGGAGATTGCAGCAGGTGGTCTCAGCCATGGGGGTGTGTGGTGCATTTCATAACAAAATAAAAAAAGATCCATCTCCCTCCTCCATGCGCGCACGTACTCATGCACGCACGCACGCGAGACGTATGTATCTGGGATCAGAACTGGCACTTGTATTTCACGCTTATGTGACGGTAGGAATTCTGCATGTGGTATGATTAAGTCTAGCAAGTTTACCCTGAAGTTAAGATGACAGGTATGTATAGCTTTTGTACAAGAAGTGTCAAGTGCTGTAATCCCTTTGTCTAAGTATAGACATGCAAATAGCCCGAGCCTGAATTGATTCAATCTTTGCAGCTTAGTCTAACCTGTGTGGACTGAACCAATTTGCAAGTGAACAGACATTTACTTTTGATTCCAGATATGTGGGCACATGCCTGCAGTGGCTCAGGCTAGAAGCCAGGGGTGCTTGATCAAGCCCTCCCTTCCTTTCCACAGTAACCTCAAGGCTGAAGGGAAGCTGACTTGGGGCATGTGGCCAGGCCACCAGCAGGCTGCTATGTATGTTTGGTTTAAACAGGAAACCTCAGTCTGGCATGCAGGGACCCCAGCCAGGGTGTGCCTGGAGGAGGAAGCAGCCTTTGCCAGATTTGTCCCTGGAGGGGTGGGGGGGCCTGGCCAGACATGGCCTGGGCAGCACCTCAGGTGAACAGGGGCAGGGAGGGGGATTAAACTCCCCTGTCTCCCTTCTTGGGCATGGGGACTCCGCTGGTGGCACCCACTCGCATGGTGCAAGGCCTGGCCAGAGCCAGACTGCATGACCCCACCATCTGCCTGTCTCACCAGGGGCTGAGGTTGGGTATGTGGAGCTGGGGCCGGGACTGTGGATGCAGCTGTGAGGTTGAGCCGGGCTGGCCCATGGGCACTGCTGAGGGTGGGCATGGAGGGGCCGGCCCAGGCTGGACCGTGGGGGCTGGGCTCTTCTCAGTTAGCTGCAGTGTGGGCAGGGGATGCAGGAACCGGGCAACCGGATTGATCCTGGCTACCTACACCTAAGCCAAGCCAGGCTTGTCATGGAGTCTCATCCAGCTGGGAGGGGCCCAGTGGGGTCGGCCTGGGTTGTGGGAACATGGCCCTTCCCAGCCAGTTGCAGCTCTGTCACAACCTAGCCTGGTGCCCATGGGCAGGGAGGGAGGGGGAACAAACCCCCTGTGTACCTCTTCCCTTAGGGGGCTGTCCTGCTGGTGTCTGGCCATGCCCCTGCCCCTGCTCTGGCCAGAGAGTGGAGGGGTTGGGCCAGCCCTACTGTCTGGAGCAGAAAGCCCAGCCCAGCCCAGGGCTGCAAAGCATGCTGGGATTCTGGGGGACTGACTTGACTTAAACCAGGAAGGGGTCTGGGACAGAAGTTCCATAAACTGGTTTGACCCATATCAGTTAAGTCTGATACTGCATTCAACCAGGTTTATCTTAAACCAGTTTCGGCCATTTTGAAACTGGTTTATGTGCACTGAACTTCTGTTGTGTTCCATGTTTAAACCAGTTTCTGATCACTTAAACCAGTTTATGTGCAACTTCTGTCCCTAGCCTTAAAGGTAAAGGATTTATATTTGAGATTAAATGTGGAGAAGTCAAGGGAGCCTTTACTTACATTTCCTGTTGCTTTGAAATGAAACAGAGATTTTGAAAGCCACTCCAGTGCTCCTCTTGCTCTAGTACAGGCAGCCTCTGTGGTGGATATGTAGTTGCTGAAATATTCTGATTTGGAAGGGAGGGAAGCGTGTTGTCATCAGTGGAGTTTGTCAGCTTGTACTGTCTTGGTCCTAATACCTGCAGCGGATGTGTGAACGGGCATTCTTGGGCGCATAGCTCACTCCTCACCATTTTACATTTTACAGCTGGATCCTAAAAGGTGCACAGTACCCTGAAGTCCAGCCACTAAGCACCGCGTCTAATGAGGACCTTGCAAACTGTGGTTTATATTTCCAGGCAGCAATACGCTGGGCTTTCAAAAATGCCTTTAAAATATTGCTCTGGCTACAGAACCTTTTAAAAAATGTTTCACCCTGAAGCCATATTTATTGAGCCCTTTCAGGACCATACATATTGGGCACCTACTAATTTGTGCTATTGAGTATTACTCTGTACACTCAGTGGTACCTCAAGCAAAACTTCAGTATATCATACAGTTGGATAGACTTATTGTACTAATAAAAAATACATTGAAGTTATGGCATGCTTCAGATACTTTTGCCACCAGAGACGTTTCATTCAGAATGTGAAAATAAATACCCAGTGCTTATACCTTATTTATAGACTATGTTGCTCCAGGTTCTTAATACTTAATAATTAATTTTCACTAATGTAAACACCATTGGAATTTATTTGGTAGGACGTGACGTCTCCATTGCTTCTCATACATTAAAAGTATTTGTAAATAGTTTTCCCCTCCCTTGCCTCCCCCCTACCACCTCAAAATTTAGTGCTCAAACCTGCTTGCTTAGTTGAGTAAGGAGTGTAGGCTTGAAGAATGACCCCAAGTGCTGCAGACTAAAACTTTGTTTTCCTGGA